AGAAAGGTTTAACCCAACATGAATGTGGACGGCACCATCCCATGGGCCTGGTTCCTGGTCTGAATTAAAAGGAGACAAGCCAGCTGCATGCCAGCATGCCTTTCTGCTGTCTGACTGCTGATGCTGCCTTGCCTTCCCTGAGGTGATGGATGCACAGTTGCACTGAGCCCCATTGAACACTATATACCTTGAGCTGCCTTTGTCATGGCAATGAAGGACGTAATAGAGTGGTCTGGCTTATTTATCCCTCTGTACCCTCAGTGCTGCTCGTGCAGGCATGTGGCACTGTACCCAGTGGAACTGTTAGAATTTTAACTGTTGACTTGGAGTTTTCTGTTTTATCATTACACGAGTGCACATGTGAGCACATAGCTTTGAGAAAGAGTGGTTTTGGGCAGCTCTGAGCAGGTCCTCGGCTCAAAAAGGACTCACTACATCCTGAGCCCTGGCCTCAGATCCCATTTGTCCATGTAAATAAATCCTAGACTGTGGTCCTCCTGCCTCCTGTGCCTATGGTGTCTTCATTTCCACCTGCATACTCCAAACTCTGAGAATTTTTGGTACTTGCTCCTGAGTTCCTGGCATTTAGCCCAGTGCCATCAAAGCTCTGTCTGTCTGTCTGTCTGTCCTCTCAGCAGATCATGGGCCCAGGTGGCAGGAGTAATTTGTCCCTTTGTGTGTCCGATACCTAACTCGATGCCCAGACCCAGCAGGTTCCTGGTGCACACTTGTCATGGTTTATCTAGGTCCAGGGCATGGCATGTGGATGTGGCCTGGCCCTGCATCCTAGGGTCAGGGAGATTTGGAGGAGTGATTGCCCAGTTGCTTTTGCCTGACTTCTCTGCCCAAGACTGTTAGATGCCAGGCTGATTTCTTCCTCTACTACTTAAAAACAGAAACTGAACACCAGGCATGGTGGCACACACCTTTAATTCCAGCACTCAGCTGCGGAGAGTGCGCTTGCGTCATGTTTCTGGGCTGGGCGGCCTTTCCTGGCTTTTCTGCTCCTGAGGCAGAGGTCCCGGCGTGGACTCGTGGATTCCAGGCATGGGTGGCTATACTGCCGTCCCAGCGGGACTCTCGGGTGTGCTGAACAGAGCGTGGGCTTTGATAGCCACTCCTGATACCAGCTATCACGATTAGTTACTAATACGCAGCCCGTAATAGTCATAGTCAAGATATCTTTAATAGGTAAATGCCAACCAACAGGAAGACAGAGTGTGCCAAGGCAGCAGGGAAAGAGAGCTACCATGTACCTTGGCTATCCCTTTAAACCTTTTTCCATGTCACCCTGACATCACCTGACGGGTGTGGTCGGCACACCTGTAGCCAGCCCTTAGGAGACATGGTTAAGGTGTCTCCCTACACTCAGGAGGCAGAGACAGGCAGATCTCTGAGTTCAGTGTCAGCCTGGTCTACAAAGTGAGTTCTAGGACAGTCAGGGCTACACAGAGAAACCCTGTCTCAAAAAAAAAAAAAAACAAAAAAAAAACAGAAACTGAAATCCAGACTGTCTTTTCCAATCTCAGGAAGCATTACTAATGGCCAGCTCCTTTGAAGGTTTCTTAAACTGCTGTGTTTGGTCACGATGTGCCAATAGCTGCCCATGTACGTTATACACCAGCCGTTGTCAACCTGTGGGTTGTGGCCCTTGGATAATACATGTCTCCGATGGTCTTAAGAATTAAGTGGCAAAATTACAGTTATGAAGTAGCAACAAAATACTTTTATGGTTGGGGGTCATCACAACATGAGGAATTAACTGTATTAAAGGGTCACAGCATTAGGAAGGTTGAGAAGCACTGCTCTATATAATGAGCTTCCCCGATTTCCCTTCCCTGTGTGTGCTGTTCTCGTGCCCACTTGGGATCCTGACCTTTTGATGACTGGTTACACTTGCCAACAGTGTTTTGCACAGCCAATCCACTCTCCAGCCTCCAAACACTCTGCTCTACTGCCACAGGGAGCGGCCCCACTCCCACCCCAAGCCTCTGTAGGCAGCTTAGTGTGATGCTCGTGTTCTCTGGGGCCACTGGGCAAATGAATTGGCTTGAACTTGAACCCTTCTTGGCTCTCCTGTGCTTGTTTGTGTATGATAAACTTTCTGAAGGCGTCTGGAAAGTAAATGTTTGGATTGTGCATCGGTATTTGATCAACCTTTAGTGCTTGTCTGTACCCACAGACTGGAGGGGCTTGGTCTTTCTGACTGGGCTAGAAAGATAGAAGGTGTGCACTTGGACAGCACAGGGTGGCCCTGCCTTCTGTTTCCTTGTACTCCTGAAGATGGTCTTTGAAGGAGAAAATTAATGTAGTGAGTGCTTGCTTCTTTTCCTGCTGGTGGAGTTCTATGTACTAGTGCTCTCCCGAGAATTCTAGTGAATGACATAGACCCCTCGGGGATTCTGCTATCTACCATCTTATAGTTGAGGAGTGGGGTGACAGCCGCTTAGAGAATGAACAGCTTCTTTTACTGTTACGGGAGTAATATACACTCAGGCAGAAAACCTGGCCTTGCAGATAGCACAAGCGGCAGAGGTGTGCCTAGAGAGGGCGCTTGAGCCTTTTTCTCCTGTCTGCTTTCCTGGGTCCCACATGGCTTCAATTGCAGCTTACTGCTTCTTTCATTCATTAAAAGAGCATGAACACCGTCTGTCTGTATCAGTAATTTTGCCTGTGCAAACACTAGCTATGATAACGTGCTATCTAACTAGCCTAGGGTGGATGTTTAGTGTGACTACAAAGCCTTGTTGTACCCTGTGATAAGCATCCTTCTCCATACATTTTTGTTTGCTCTCTTTTATAATTATTCCGAAGATGAATTCAGAGAAATGGAACTCTTGAATCAAAAGTCTAGAAAGTATGAAAAAATTAATTAGTGTTGTTGATATAGACAATTAAAACTCAGTCTGCAGCTCTCCTGTCTGGACACAGGGCTAATAGCAGGGTGGAGGCAAGGATGGACTCCTGTGTGCATGCTGGAACCAGTGTTCAGAACACGAACTCTGAGCTGTTTTTGCCTACTCCACCACTTACTAGTTATATGACCTTAACCTTTAATATTAACCTCAGTGTTCTCATCTACAAAATGGGATGAGAAAGGTACTCACCTCATAAATTCATAATAAAACAAAAGGAATTTCTACATGTGAAGCTCTTAGAATAGCCTAAGGCCTATCAGTGCCATACAAGTATTTACAATTCTCTATAGCCACTTTTCCACCTGACTGCCTCTGCTTATCAGTGAATAAGGGCCCAATTATTTTTAGTGGGTGTGTTGTATTCTATTGTAAGAATGTCTCCCTGAGGGTATGTAGGCACTTAATGGTTTTGGTATGGCCCACTGCTGATTAGTTTTTCATGCTCCTATAAGCAACCCTAGTCAAAGTCATTGGGACATACACACACACACACACACACACACACACACACACACACACACACAGAGAGAGAGAGAGAGAGAGAGAGAGAGAGAGAGAGAGCGCTCAGGAAAAGTTGGGGAAGGGTGGTGACGGCTAGATGAAAGAAATTGGATCGGTGGGAGGGAGGGAGGAAGGGAGGGAGGTAACCTGTGATCAAAATACATGTATGGAGCTGTCACAATGAAACCCGCTATTATGCATAATATACATGTGCTAATAAAAGCACTTTTAATTTTAAGATGAGCCTTGGAGCCAGGTAGTGTTGGCACATGCCTTTAATCACAGCACTTGGGAGGCAAAGGCAGGTTCGAGGCCAGCCTGATCTACAGAGCTAGTTTCAGGGCTACATAGAGAAACCCTGTCTTGAAAAAAAAAACCAAAAAGAGAAAGTGGGGGGGGGGGGATGAGTCTTGGACTGAGAGTGTACCTGACTGGTGGTAGAATAGGTCTAGCATGTCCTAGGTCCAATCCTTCGAACTTCTTACCCCTGTAATAAAAAAAGGGGGCCTTGATCCACCCAAACCCCCACTGGTCATTAAACATAGACCTTCCTGCATGCTCTGCTAGGTAAGGTTTCTACCACTCATTTGCTTCCTTGAACTTTAAGTTTGTTTGTTTTGTTTTGGGGGTGTTATAGTTTTTTTTGGTTTTTCAAGACAGGGTTTCTTTGTGTAGCTCTGGCTGGCCTAGACTCCCTCTGTAGCCCAGGCTGACCTCAAACTTAGAGCTATTCAACTGCCTCTGCCTCCTGAGTGTTGGAATTAAAGGTGTGTACCACCACCTGGACTGTTGGTTTGTTTAAAGAAAATACTACTTATTATCAGTTTTATTTTTGTGGATGTTTTGCCTGTATTCGTGTCTGTACACCACGTGTGTACAGTACCTGCAGAAGCCAAAAGAAGGCTCAGATCCCCTGGAACTGGAGGAGTTACAGTTGGTTATTAGCTGCCATGTGGGTGCTGGGATTTGAACCTGGGTCCTCTGGGAGAGCAGCTAGTGCTGTTAGCTGCTGAGCCATCTCTCCAGTCCATTGTTTTGTTTTTAAATCAGACTTCTGCCTCTTGCTAGTCATCCTCTGTGATAAATTCCCAGAGCTAGAATTGGTGAGTTCTCTTTCTGTCTTTTTTACTTCCTGCCTTTCTTCTTTTTCCTCCTCTCCCCCCTCCCTTCTTTTCCCCCTCCCCAGTCTCATCGTGGGCATTCCCTAAGTTATAGGGTCTGGTCTTGGACTCACTCATTCTCTGGGGGTTCTGGGTTTAGAGATCTAGACCACTATGTTGGCTTATGGGTCCACTTTCAGCAGTCCTTGAAAGGACTGTCCTAACTTCAGAAACCAGAGGTTCTGGGCTTATTTGAAGGTTTCTGGAAGCCCTGGCCAGGCTCCCTCGTCTCTGTATAGCCTAGGCTCCTCTCTGGCAATGAGACAACAGATGTTGAAGGAAGCCAGAGTTAGGGTGAAAGGCTAGCTAGTGTGTGTCACCTTTGGTGGAAATGTTACATCACCAAGAGAGGGTCTGTGCTGGCCTCAGAATGCCCTCAATACAAAACTCTGGTGTGGTGTCATGTGGAATACAAGCACTGTTGGGTATTTAGGAGAATGTTTTATTGACTTTTCATGACTGTTCTTTGGAGTTGACTCGGGATAATCTCAGAGAAGGTCACTTGAACAAGGTCACCCAAATTACAGAGAATTCTGCCTTGTTTAGTTCATATAGCAGCAAACCTCACTATTTGGCATTCATGCAGTTAGCAGAGGGACTTTGGCCCAGAGTATGGGTTGCTTTGCTGTCAGGAAGCCTGGGCAGGTCCTGCTTTTCCTCCCGAACAATGAGAAAGGATATGAAGCATCTCCAGATCAGTGCCAGGTATGATGGCCATGCCTTTAATCCTAGAGAAGCAGATGGATCTTCATGAGTTTGAGGCTAGTCTGTTTTACAAAGCGAGTTCCAGGCCTGCCTGCACTGCTTAGTGAGACCCAATCTCCCCCAATTCCTGCCCCTGAAAGGGGGAGGGGCATTGATGTCGGGAGACACATCTCACCTTCTAAAGGTTTGACAAAAGAGTCTAATAAAGAACCTAATTATAAAAGAATGTTTCGTGGGGGGGGGGGAATACTGGGTATTGAACCTAGGACCCTAGGTGTGCTAGACAAACACTGTAACACTGAACTATCCCCAGCCCTACTTATAAGGTATGAAAGTCCAGAAAGGAGATGGGACCCCTGGAGACTAAGATCAGCACAACCTTATCCTTATTACTAGGCCTGAAGGAGAAAGGGAAGGGAGAGACCATAGCTCAGCAAGTGCTGGAGTTGGGAGGTAGAGCCATGGGAACCAGCCTGCCCCTCCCATTGAGTCCTGTACACCTGCCCCTCCTGTGTGCCAATGAGGAGGGCCTGTTCCTGGGCACAGGACATATAGCACAAGAATTTTGTAGGCTGTGGCCTGTCCTGAGGAGGGGACCATAACACAGTTTGACTTAGCCAGCTGAAGGGCATCTGGCCCTGAGGGGACTGGGTCACTCTCAAATGTCAAGAAAGAGGAGTTAGGGGAGTGGCCCATGTCTGGGTCACTCCCAAATGTCAAACAAGAGGAGTTAGGGGAGGAGCCTGTGTCTTGGAGATCTTAATTTGTGGCTCCTGACAGTGACTTGGTAAGTGGCTTCTGGGGGCTGTCACTTGCTGGTCCCCCACATTGCTCCCTACTTTCTCCCTTGGGATATAAGCAGTGAGCCCTGTACCTGGCTGCAAGACCTCTTTAAGAGAGGGTTGAGTGGCAGGCCTCCCAGTGCCGAGTTCAAAACATTTCTGCTTTTGTCTGAGAGCTCTACTGTTGGGTTAGTCTCACAAAGAGATGTAGGATTTGAACTGTTGGGTACATGTGTCAGGAAAGTTTGTTACAGGACTGAAGGCTCAAGAACCAACTCAAACTGAGTGAAGAATTCATGGAATCTGTTGGTTCATGTAACAAAGATGGCTAAGGAGCTTCTGGCCTTGGCACAGAGGGCTTGGGCAATTGTCTGCTTTCTTCCTGCCAGCTGTGTACTACCCAGAATTGCTCAGCTTCCCTCCAGATCTAGGGAGCTTCGCTCCAGATCCAGGGAGCTCAGGTACCAGGAGGAGAAGGTCAGCTTCTCAAAAGGGTTCACATGGAACTCAGCCTGGGGCCTTGTGCCAATAGTCCCAACTATTTAGCTGAGGCAAGAGATTTGTAAGTTTGAGGGCAGCCTGAGCAACTTAGAGAGACCCTGTCTCAGAAAAATCCCCCAAAGATGTCAGGGTGAAGTTCAGTGGTAGAACATTTGTCCATTGCTGAACCCTTGACCCAGAAAAATGGTGCTGGCTCTGATTGGACCCGGTGATCACTCTTTACCGAATCACCAGAGGGACAGGGTAAGCAGTCCTATGTCCTGTTCAGTGAGTAGAGAATGATGGTCATTCCCATATACTCAAAACTAAAGCAGGAGTGCTTGTGCCTATAGGTTACTAATGCAGGGGTGCTCCTGCTCAGAGAAAGGTAGAGATGGACATGGCTCCACCCTATGTCATAGGAAAACATGAAACAGCAAACCACAGCTTAAATTGTGGCTTATTCCTAATGTGGAATATTATGCAGTATTAAAACATACATTAAGAGCTAGAGAGATGGCTCAGCCATTAAAGGCTAGGCTCACAACCAAAAAATATAAAACATACATTAGAATTATGGAGAAAATGTAATGATAGGATTTATGCTAGACTATGTTGAAAATAGGTTACAAATACATAAGCTATATGATTTCAGCCATGTGAAGTATATTTATGCTTCAAAAAATGCTGAAAGTATCCCAAAATGTTCATTCTAATTATGGCAATGTGGGTAAATTTCTTCTGTAATTGTTTCCTTTTACATTTTCAAGTACCCTAATTATATATGTACCTAAGAAACAAGCATTAGTTTTACAAACCTGAGCTGCAAAATGACTTCCACTTTTACATTATGGAACTTTTCTGTGTAGTAGCCAGTGAGGAGGGGGAGGGCTGTAGAGGAGAGGGAGGGCCAAGTGCGCAGTTTTAAGCCTCAAAGGGAGCTGCCTGAAGGTCTTGGTCCCAATGGGTGCACAAGATGGGAGGTGCAGTTGAGGTGGGAAGATTTGTGTCTCCCTTGAGGACCTAAGGCTCAGTCAAAGGACCTTGTTCTTTCACTCAGTTCAACATACCTTTGCTCTGCAGACATTATCCAGTGAGGCATCAGACGGAAAAGACGAGACATGCCTGTGCTTCCCAGAAGCACACATCTTCCCTGTACCCTAGGCCTGGCTAGTGAGTAGCCATCGGCAAAGGAGCCTTTGGAAGGTAGCTTAGACACTGGTGGACACAGCAACTGATGGTGGAAGAACTGTTTCCCCTGTGTGAGCAGATACAGAGCAAGTGCTAAACAATGGTCCTACTGATTTTTAGGCTGACTGAGGTGCTGCCCCTTTACCTGGTTGTGGGTGGATGTCTAGATAGTGGGAATAGGGATGTGGGGCCCCCAAGGAAAGAGTCAAAAGTGGCTCCAGGAATTAGGGCAGATGGGAGGAGGTTGTCCTGGAAGGATCATGGGCATGAAAGCTGTAGCCAGGCAGACTTGTGGGCACACAGGTAACAGGAGGAGGTCAGCAAACAAAGGTCTTACTCATGCCAGTTGGCTCTGCCATGCCATAGGGTTGGTCAGTATGCAGGTCTCTTTATTTTATGTGCATTGGTGTTTGCCTTCATATGTCTGTGTGAGGGTGTCTGATCCGCTGGAACTAGAGTCACAGACAGTTGTGAACTGCCATGCGAGTGCTGGGAATAGAACCCTGGTTCTCTGGAAGAGCAGCTAGTGCTCTTAACCACTGAGCCCTCTCTAACTCCCAGGTTTCATATTCTAATGAAGAGTCAAGACTGTTTCCCTTCTCTTTTTTTGAGACAGAGTCTTGTAGCCCTGGGTGGACTAGAACTCAGTCTATAGCTGAAACTTGGGATCTCCTGCCTCCACCCCAAAGTGCTGGAATTATAGACATGCACCACTATATCCGGTTCATCAGTGCTGGGGATCAAGCCAGGGCCTGCAGCCTTCTAGACAAGAACTCCACCAACAGCTGCATCCCCAAACTCAAATGTCCTCTTCTAATATGACCTACCTTCTGGGCTTTCATGGGTAGAGCATAAGCTTGTCTTGGCTTCCCTCCCCTAGCTCATTCTCTGGGGACCCCCTTGCTGAGAACCAAGCCACAATGCTTCAAGGAAGCCAGGCTACATGGAGATGCCATGTGTGTTGGCAACACCTGCTGAGGTCCTGGCAGCTGTGGCATCCTGCATCTGTAAGAGGAACCTTTGAGATGACTTTGCCTCCAGGAGCCATCAGACTGCCACTTTGTGTGAGACCCTGAGGGAGAAGGACTAAGCTGAGCTCCATCATGCTGCAGACTGAGACAGATGACAAATCACACTGTTGTCTTAAACCTTTGAGTTTTGGGTGAGTGGTCACCCTACAGTGTGAGCAGATCAATCAGAGCTTCTACCTCTAGAGAGACTATCCTACAGAGGACCAAGCAGGAAGTACTCAAGGCCAGTCTCAGTCATGCCCCCCTCCTCGTGTGGACCCACATAATGACACATTGCTGCCACCCAGCCTAATGTAGTTTACATTAGGACTTACTTGGTGGTATATTTGGACAAACCCACTGTCATGGTGTCAGACAGCACAGTTACCCTGTTCCCAGAACCTGGGCCTTTCTGTTCACCCCTCCCCAATTGCTGAACCACTCACTGATGCCACTAGTCTCTAGAGTTTTGCTTTTTTCAGACTGCCAGGATATGGAGCAGCAGTTCTGTGTGTAGCTTCTTTTTCTTACCGATGCTTAAGGTTCCTCCATACCTCTTCATGATGTGATAGCTCATTTCTTAGCGCTAAATAGTGTGCCATTTTCTAGATATACCTCAGATGAACCATTCACCCACTGAAGACCATCTTAATTGCTTCCAAGTTTGGGCAGTTAGCATGGTGGCTTTAAGCACCTATGTGTAGAGTTTTTTATGAACACAGGTTTTACCTCATGGGGTACAAACCAAGGAGTGCAACTGCTGGATCGTATGGAAGATACCCTGGAGCTGTGGTCTTCAGGGGCTGTGTTGTTTTACATTCTTTCCAGCCACAAACTTCTATTCCTCCCTCTTAGCCAGCATTTGGTGGTGTTGCTCTTCTGGATTTGGGCCATTTTAGTATGTGAGTGGTAGTATCTCATTGGTTTTTTTGTTTGTTTTGTTTTTATTTATTTTTGAGACAGCTAGTTCTCAGACATGTATACCACTTTATGTACAATTTTTCTCTCTACATGGCTCTGGCTGTCCTGGAACTCACTCTGTAGACCAGTCTGTCCTCAGACTCACAGAGATCCGCCTGCCTCTGTCCGACATATATCTCCTTGTTTTAATTTGCATTTCCCTCCATCTCTCCATTTTTCTATCCCTCCCTCCTTAGGACTGTGCAGTTCTTTGCCAAGTGCCCTACCACTGAGTTATAGCCTCAGCCTTGACACTGTCTTTCAACAAGGTCAAGGTATGAATTCTATTATTTTGTTGTTGTTTTTCAAGACAATGTTTCTCTGTGTAGCACTGGCTATCCTGTAACTTGTTCTGTAAACTAGCTGGCCTTGAACTCAGAGATCTGCCTGTCTCTGCCTCTTGAGTGCTGAGATTAAAGGCAAGTGCCACCACTCCCAGCTAGAAGATCTGAATTTTATTTCAATCCAGATCATCAGTTATTTCTTTTATGGATCATGCCTTTGGTGGTGTATTTTTTAAAAAAGTCACCACCAAATTCTAGTTCACTTGACTTTTTTCTTATGTTTTCTTCTAGGAATTTTGTAGTTTTGCATTTTACACTCAGAGGTGAGACCCATTAATTAATATGACAAGTGCGAGGTCTGTGATTCCTTGTTCTGTATGTGGATGTCCAATTGTTCCAGAATTATCTATTGAAAAGGCTATATTGACATTATCCCTTTTCAAAGACCCACTAACTGTGGCCCTTTTCTTGTCTCCCTAATCTATTCACATAATGTAATTATCATTTTATTTATTTTAAAATTTTATTTATTTAATATGTATGGATGTTTTATCTGCATGTATGTCTGTGCACTAAATGCATGCAGTGACCATGGAGGGTCTGGAATTACAGGTGGTTTGTGAGCTGCCATGTGGGTGCTGAGAATCAAACCTGGGTCCTCTGGAAGAGCAGTCAGTGTTCTTAACAGCTGAGCCATCTTTCCAGACCCTCTTTTTTTTTTTTTTTTGGATATCACATTATAAGGATAACTCTTTCCACAGCCGCCTGAGTTCCACCCGCCATGTTAGGGCACCCAAATAACACACAAAGTCTTATATTATTACAATGCTGCTGGCTAATGATTAGGATTTCTTATCTGCTAGCTCAGTCTTAATTATCAACCATAACCATTAATCTATATATATTATAAAGACTTATCTTATTGAGGACGCCAGCCTTATGCGTCCTGTCTTCCTGGCGATCACATGGCGACTCCTGTCTTTACTACATTTCCCAGAATCCTTCTTGATTCCTAGTCCCACCTAACTTGCTCCCCTATTGGCCAACAGTGCTTTATTTATCAACCAATAAGACAAACATATATACAGAAAGACTTCCCCCATCATTTCCTCTTTTCTGTCTAAATGAAAAGAAGGGTTTTAACATTAACACAGTAAAATACATAACAAAACAGTTATCAAGTAAGAACTATAGTTATGATATTTAGTTCATTAACATTTAGCAAGATTTAAAGAAAATATTCTATCATCTATCCTATCTTTGTGAGTCTAAGGTCTTAAATGTAACATCTTTTATAATAAATAAAGAAAACTATAACCATAACTGTCTTCAATTTCATCAAAGACCACAGAAGGATAATATATAAACTCTAGAACCAATAGAGACTCTGCCTCCCAAGTGCTGGGGTTAAAGGCATACACCACCACCGCCCGGCTCCTTTTCTTTTTCTTTTTTTTTTTTTTTAATTTTATATGTATGTTTTCCTGCTTGTAAGCATGTATGTACACTGTGCATGCCTGGTGTCCAAAGAGGCCAGAAGAGGACATCAGATCCTCTGAAACTGGAGTTCCATGTGGGTGTTGAGAATCAAACCCAGGTCCTCTGCAAGAGCAACAAGTACTCTAAACCACAGAGCCATCTCTCCAGCCCCCTTACTTAGGGTTTCTATTGCTGTGATAAAAATACAATGGCCAACTTGTTAAGGAAAAGGTTTAGTTCATCTTAACAACTCTCAGGCCATCACTGAGGGAAGTCCAAGCAGGAACCTGGGTGCAGAGACTGTGGAGGGGTGCTGCTTACTGCATTGCTCCTCATGACTTGCTCAACTTGCCTTCTTCTTTTTGTTTTTTAAAGATTTTATTTATTTATTATGTATACCGTCTTCTGCCTGCATGCAGATCTCATTCAAGGCAGGTGTGAGCCACCATGTGGTTGCTGGGAATTGAACTCAGGACTTCTGGAAGAACAGTCAGTGCTCTTAACCGCTGAGCCATCTCTCCAGCCCCAACTTGCCTTCTTATAGAGCCAGGACCACCTGCCCAGGAGTGACACCACCCACTATGATCTATGCCCTCCCACATCAATCATTAATCAAGAAAATGCCCACAGGTTTGCCCTCAGGCCAGTCTAATGGAGGCATTTTCCCAGGTGAGGTTCCTTCTTCCCAGACAGCTCTAGCTTGTGTCAAGTTCACAACACAATCAGGACTCTCCATAAACATGGAATACTTATTTATTTATTTGAATCTTCTTTGTTTTTAGTTTTCATCAAAAGTTTTGTACACATTTCTTAAGTTTGTACTGAAGTATTTCATTTTGAGTTGTTCACATTAGTATTGTATTTTGCATTTCTAATTCAGCCTTTTTGTTACTGGTAAATAGGAAAACAATTGACTTTTGTATATTAGCTTTGAATCTAACAGTCTTGCTATAATCACTGATCAGTTCCAAGAGAGTTTTTCCAACTCTTTTGAATTGTCTACAGAACAATTCTTTTTTAAAAAAGATTTATTTATTTATTATGTATATGGCGTTCTGTCTGCATGTATCCCTGCAGGCCAGAAGAAGGTACTAGATCTCATTCAGACAGTTATGAGCCACCACGTGAGTGATGGAAATTGAACTCAGGACCTCTGGAAGAGCAGCCAGTGCTCTTAACCACTGAGCCATTTCTCCAGCTCCACAATTCTTTATTTATAAGATTATACCCATGGCCAGGCTAGAGATGATCCCAACACCAGACAAGCTGAGGTAAGAGCAGGTAGAGCCAGAGGCCTCAGCTCACAAACCTCCAGAACTGGTGGTGGTACCTCTT